CGGGTCCAATGGTTCCTGAACAAAAAAGACCCCCCGACCGACCCCTTTAGGATCTCCTAGGGGCTCGAGGGCTATGCCCATCAGGCATGCTAGCACGCACCCTCTGGCAAAGAGACCCGACCAAGCCTGACTCGACCACAGCTTCCGCTAGGGGCTCGGGGGTTTCCCCGAGCCTTGGGCTCCTGATCTACGGCACCTCCAGGCTCGGTCCTTGGCTCCTGCCCGTCTAATCATGCCAGCCAAGGCCTGGGCATAAGAAGGCAAGCCCTAGGCTACCGATGCCCGGGGGCTCCTAGCGCCGCTCCCTAGGCGTGCCCCTACCAACTGCTCCTTCGACAGGGTCACGTTCGTGGCGTGACACAAGAAGACAAAGCTTCCGCGGCCTCTGGGGACTCGGGGGCTTCTGGGCCCACACGTCAACCCCTGGAACCGACCTCCTTCGCCACCAAGAAGACTCTAGAAGGTCTCACCTGGGGGAGGCCAGTCCAAGCCGGCACCCTCTGACACGCAGAGTGTCAAAACAGAGCAGTCGGACGATGCCCAGGCTTCTTTGGCTCCAAGACTCCTCGACGGTCCACGGCGCACCGCTGCAAGCCCCTCCTGGACTCTGGCGCACGTAGACCATAGACTAGAACCCCCAAACTGCCTTATAACCGACCTATCTCATTATATAAGGGATAAGGTCGGACCGAGAGGGGGGAGGATCTTGATTCGATCACTAGACACTCCATTCCATCCTATCTGCCTCCGCTCTGCACCGAGAGCAAGGCAACCCAGAGAGGGGCACCAAGAGCCTCTCCTCCACCACATCCTACCGTCTCCTTCCTCTCCGATGAGGGGGAGACTCCACCGACAGCGATGCAACCTTAGGATTAGCACCGAGCTAACCCCCCTACCAAACTTCCTTCATTTACACTCTGTTGTAACCCCCTAGATTTTGGGTGCTCTTGAGTATAAGGATCATCAACTGGTGGACGTAGGGACTGAATTGGCCCGAACTAGGATAAATTGTTGCGTCTTGTCTGCGTGATTCTTATGTTCCTGAGTCCACCTGAGCCACCGGAGACCCCGTACTCTGACACCGACTCGAACAACATGCTTATCGTGGTTTCGACCCCACGACACCGGGTTTGTTGACTCAGACCCAACGGCTAGTTTTGGGTTGGTGGCTATAAATACCACTCCCTCTCTCCCATTTGAGGCTGCTGATGCTCACCATTCTTCATCCACGACCAGAATAGCCCTTGGGCTTTGCTCTCTCCCTCTTTGTGAGTGACTTGATTAGAGAAACCAAATATTGATTAGAGAGTGATCCCAAGCTTTGTGAGCTAGCCTTTGTGGCATTAGTGAGCTGAGAAGCTTGTGAGAGTTGTCCCAATCTTGAGCACTTGAGCAAGTCGAAGATCTTTGGTTTGTTGCGTTCGTTTCTTTTGGAACTTCGTTCCCAGGTGGCAAAGTGTCACCGGCAAGCACCTGAGGGTGTGTGGGCTGCTGTGGTGGCCTTGTAAGAAGGGCTAGTCTTCTCGCTAAAATAGGAAAGAAGATTCCTTAGTGGAATTGGTGGAAAGAGACCGTTTCGGGTCCGACCACGAATTGACCTTGGTTGCGTCCTCACCGGCTTCCACAACAGAGGTGTATTGCACCTTTGGGTGTTCCGAACTCTAGTCAAACAAATCTCCGCATCTCCCATTCGGTTTGCCTTGCACTTGTTCATATCGCTTATCCATACTTGTGTTTCCACTTGTGCTACTCGGGTGTGGTGGTTTGTGCTTGCAGGAAGTGTGTGAAGAATTCATACACTTGTAACAATTCCACATTACAAGTTGCACCGGATGTTGTTTAGCAAATCTGAAAAGAGCAATAAATTGCACTTACCATACAACAACTATCCAAGTAGGTGTATGTTAGTCCAACATATTGTAATTTGTTTAACTTAATGCGACAAATATCTAGGTGGGTGCATGTTGGTGCAACATCTTGCAGTCTGTTTAATTAGATACGAGAACTTGGCTCATTGATCCATATATGGTCAAAGACATGTGCTCGATGTCATTGGGAGCTACTACATAATAGCGTACTCAGCTCATCCAATGCTTAGCTGGAATCGTTGGGATAATAACTCACTTGCAGACAAAGCTTGATCTCTCGTTGAATTTAATTTAGGCTTGGTCCATTTTTAATTCAATGAAATCAGATAAATCTTAGCCCATGTTAAATGTTATAGTGCAATATAATTTAGTCTCATATGGGATTCTGACTAAACATTGACTCAACTTAAATAGGTGAACTTTTTGTGTTCCTATTAAAAAATTAAAGGGCGCGCCACACATGCACGTGCCGCCATCGAGCCGAGCCGTGAGCATGCACGAGCTGGACCACGCCACGACATCTGCTCAGGTGTGTTGGACGATCAAGTTTTTGAGTGTATGATTAAAGTGCATCTAGGTCCCTAGTGGGTTTTGGCACATTAATGTTAGTACAATTAAGGGTGTAATGATACTTGTAAGATGTGGATATATTATAAGCATGCAGTTAACCGAATGCCCACCCCTAAACAGAGTTGCAACTCTACCTCCACGATGGACAACCCACTTATCAGCTTTAGCGAGCCATGAATGACCATGGGTAGGGGTGAAAACTGATGAAAAAAAGGTATTACAGTATAGGAAAAAATTGAAATGGCATGTTTGGTATTTTCCATATTATGAAATCAATGGCAGTTTTTATATTTGGTCAAATTCATAAATGGTATTATAATAAAGTAAACGATTCAAGTTGAGTGATGGATGAGATGAGCATAGGGTATAGCTTCCAATAACTCTGATTCAGAGTGTACAAAGACACACCATTACAATGCTTGGACCGTATATGTACCAATGAGCCAAGTTCTTGCATCAAATTAAATAGATTACAAGACGTTAGACCAACATGCACCCATCTAGATAGTTACTGTATTAAATTGGACAAATTACAAGATGTTGGACTAACATGCACCTACTTGGATAATTGTTGAATGGTGAGTATAATTTACTCATCTGAAAAAAATACATAGCCTATAAAGTTTTTAACATTCATAACAGATACGCTAACAACTATATAACTTCAAAAGAGATGAAATTTCCTTTCAAAACTCATATTGTTCGTGCATAGCAATAGCGATCAATATGTAGCAGCTGTCTCGAAGAGGACTAACAATTTTACGTCCGTTTTTTTTTCTTAATTTCGTGTAGCTAACTAACTCTTAGGCATAAATCTAGGAGCAAAGGGAAGACAAACCTAGAGACATAAAGCTCTTATGGATTATTGGTCAGTGAAAAGTCCGAGATCCTAAGGTTATTGACTCTCCAGACTAGCCCTTGGCCTCGTTCGATTGGGGTTGGGAACCATTCCTAACCGAGTTTCCTTTAGGCCCGTTCGGTTACAGTAGAAACAGCCTAGGAATTAATCCCACTCATGAAGTATATACAATTTTAAGTAGCATTTCGGTCAAGATTTTTTCCGGGTGGTCATTCATGGTGTAACGAACGGGCCCTCAATAATAATAGCATCGGATTGGTTCTGACTAGGAACGGTCCGGAATGGAGATAGCGCCCCTTATCGGCAATTCGCAAGCCGCTTGAAAATTTGTGTAGTGCACTGGCTGTGCTATCTTTCTAACAAAGTCAGCCTATGGCCGCAGAGACTTCACCTACCCTACTGTCAAAAGAAGCGAGCCTTCTTGGCCAATATCATACACCTGTCGATTGCTATTATTCGAGAATAACAAAAGCATGCACATGTTTGCATCGGCCTCACAGAAAGTTACCCGAAGTCGAGCGATATGCATCTGTCAACTTTTCTCCTTTTTTTTTGATAAGGTCAACTTTCCATTTTGCTACTGTACACTTTTGCATTTCACAATAAAGTTCATGTTAGCAGGTACTGTTTGCAGAAGCAAAATATTTTTTTTTTGACAGAAATCCTAGTTTTTGCGGTAGGGCGCGTTTTGAGCAGTAGTTGTGCTCTGCAGAAGATACAGTGCTGGATGAAAATGATTCGGATGGAGAAAATAAAGCTTTTTGACCTGATCCGTTCGTTTTGCCCTACAGCTGGCGCCGACATATTGGTTATCGTTCACCGACAGATCACCACTTGCTTGATACTGGTGTAGGTGAAAACTACAACGAATGTTTGCACTTCCCTTTCAAGTTCAAGAGACTCGGCTGATGGCCACTAGGGCTCTGGGCAACCGTGGTTATTACGCTATTTTATTTTTATTTTTCTAAAAAGCTTGGTTTCCAACAACTAAAACTGAAACTTAGCAAAAAGGAAAAAGCACTAACCTAAATAATCAAAATATGTTGGTTTGGTCTTAAACCAAAAGCTTGGACACTTTGTGAATCTCAATTTCACTGAAGAAATTTAATTGATACAAAAGGCCGGTACAAAGATCATATCACTTAATGTACAACTATACTACAATAGTAACAATAAATTTGATAACAACCGCATAGTGTAAAGATAACTAGACCTCTTATGGTAATTTAGAATTAACTATTAGTTAGCCAGACAATCAACACTTAAACTTGTTAATTTGATAACTAAACTGATTCATTCAAGACAGGACTGCATCCGATTTGTTGAGGGCCTGCCAAACCAGAGCAAGTCCTGCAGGTGATGAAGATAAATTAGAGACTGAATTAATGGGGAGAAAAACACAACAGTAGAGACCAAATCATTGAGCAAGTAAAACAGAAAACAGTTCTCACAAAACTGAAACAACAGCATGCTAGAGAAGAAATGTGATGCAGATTGTTAAGATTATAGTCATATCTAATAATGAGTTACTGAAAACATTAATAACTCAACACGTCTTGCTAATATAACATGGTAAGTCTCATTGGAAATCTGATATCAAACAGATAACAAGAGCACAGTTGATTGTTAGGTGCTGCTGAGATGATCATGGACTCCAAGTATTGCTAGCTCATTCTACCTGGAGTGATGTGATGCCCAAAACATCAGAACGAGTAGTATTGTAGGGTATCAGCAAAGTGCCCAGCAACGTAGCACGTCCCTTTTGGGTGTTTAAATCTTGGAATACATGCGTAGCAACGCTTGTAATCCATACCCACTGTTTCCCAATCTGGGTACTCATGCTTCAGCGCTTCCTCAACTGTTGGGATGCCTCTCCCACCTATAATCAGATAAGATAGTCCATAACCAATTAGACCTCCAGATACTTCCGCCATAAAAATACTGCATCTATTTTATCATTTGAGTGCTTAATTGTCCAATCTACGTTTTCCTAGAATTGTGTTTAATTCTTCTTCAAGCAGTTGAAAGAAAAAGTGAAACTACTGATTCAACCATCCACCAATGGCAGTGGAGGTAAGACGTAGAACACACACAAAAAAAGAATAAAGTTTAAATAAAATTACCTTACATAGGAGCAAATTAAAAGGAACATAACAAACCAATATAAGTATATATAAACTATCAAAACTAATTACCTAACAGTAGGATAACCTCTAGACAGATAATACAACAACATAGCAGATTGCTACTTTCCATTACAATGATAGAATAAAATTCGAATAGTTATTTTGTAGACATTCAACAAGTGATTTTTCTCGAAAAACATTTGTCTAAGCAATATCGAAGATGGTAACATTGGGGCTACTGCTGCACATAGTAAGATTTGTCTACTCATCATCAAGATAAGTGCAGCTAAGCCATGACAAAAGTGTGCAGAAAAAAAAAAAGTAACAATTCATGCTGAATTGTGTTTTCTACAGTGTTAATTTATGATGTTGTGAGATATCAGTGAGCATAATCAAAATCAAAACAAAGAATATGCAGAGATAATTTGGCACCTAAAGGATAAATAGTAAAAGAATCACAAAAATCAACTAAGTAGTAAGTTAATAACACAGATACTACAAAACAAAATCACTAAGCTAAACCATGAAGATTGATCTATAGTGTCAAATACTCATGAATCTAATTGGGGTAGCACAATAGTAAAATACCTGCATCAGAAGGAGAAACTGCGCAACAGCAAGTGACATTCTCCACCGTAGGATGGGTGTGTGCCTCAATCTCACCAAAGAAAAGCTGGGAGTGGCCGCTCTTGTCTTGAGCATGAAAATTTAGGTGGTAGTAGTCCCTGAAATCTTGCTCACCAACGTAAGAGAACCCATTAACACGTGAATGCTTGTACACAAAGTTGGCCTACAAGTTAGAGAGGAAAGGAGAGACTTTCAATTATTATCAGTCACAACAGGTAGATTTTGGATGGTTCTGGATGATTCAATAGTATTCTGTGAGAAATAATACACTTAAACAAGCTGATACATGACCAGCCGAACGCGCTGAACATAATAATGAGGTAGCCAACTAGCCAAGTACTGAGATGAATAAGGTTGCCTGATTTTTCTGGTTGTAGACGTCGAGGCAAAGCTTTGCGTTGGTGACAAAACGATTCCACATGCCAATTGCAGCTTTCGGTGGTTCATTAGGAAACAGTTTAGCGCCTAACTCTGCATCTGATGCGTCCCCATTGTCCCACCAGAAGGCACCTGCAACTCCCGGTGGTTCACTAGGGAACAGTTGAACGCCTAGCTCTGCATCTGCATCTGCATCTGATGCGTCCCCATTGTCGGTGACCTCAGAAGCCACGGATAGATTCAGCGGAACCTGTCCTTGGACCTCAGGTTGGTACAGCCCGACGGCCGTCTGCTTGGACGGCGACCTGCATAGCCACAGGGGTTGGATTAAGGCGTTAGGAATACGCGCGAAGAATCGAGTGCGGCTGACAGGGAGGAGAAAATTAGGAATCTGCGACGGTACGTACGTCGGCGGCGACTTGCTCTTAACTTTGCGAGAGAGTGCAGCCTCGACGTCGACTTCGCCGTCGCCGTCGCCGGAGGACTTCCGCTTGAGGGGGCGAAGACGACCCACCGAGTCACATGATCCGCCGATGTGACGGCTTGGCCCGGCGACGGCACGCTCGGATTGGAGCGACATCTTGATTGCTTCCGGCGTTGAGGACCCTTTTTTTATGGCGTCCGTACTTCGGGACGCGACGGACGTCGCGCGCTTGCTTCTCGCGCACCGCGACGAACCCGCCTCGCGCCTCTGAGACCAAGTAATAACAGGCTGGGCAGTCCTAATGGGATATTAACAATAGTTTCTATCTCTATTAATTATGATGCTAGCTAAGCAAAATACTGATGTGGTGATCTAATTAATAAGAAAAGGGAAGCAAATCTGATCAAACCGTTTCTTGGATGAGAACTCACGTCTACTCGTGAAACGAGGCACGAAGAAACCGCGACTTTGGCGTTGGGAAGAAACTAGCGGTTTCTACCGAGGGGGCCGGCGATGGCACTGCAGGCTGCGCTCGCCGTTCGCCCAGGCCACGTAGTCGTCGCGCACGCAACGTCTCCGCCCAGGCCGCGCAGCCGTGCGTCCGCGCCCAGGCCGCGCTCGCCGTCCGCGACCGCGCCTCCGACCAAACCGCGCCGTCGCATAGGCTGCACTCCCGTCCGCGCAGGCTGCGCTTGTCGTCCGCGAAGGCCGCGGCTCCGCCCAGGCTGCGCTCCCATCCGCGCAGGGCGTGCGCCCGCGCCGTCGCGGCTGCGCTCCCCGTCCGCCCAGGCCGTGCTCGCCGTTCGTGCAGGCCACGCGCCCAAGCCGTCGCACAGGCTGCGCTCCCCGTCTGCCCAGGCCGCTCGCCGTCCGCTTTGCCGTGCTCGATGCTGCTCTCTGGCCGAGGCCAGGCTCCACGACGATGACGGCCGCGAGCACGCGGCTCTCCATGGCGAGGTGGAGGCCAACCGAGGACCGAGGCTCCGCTCTGCGGTCGTCCGTGCAGGCTCCGTAGCGAGAGAATGTGTATATGCGGCTCCGGGAAGAAGACGGACTTAGGAGAGAGAAAGAAAAAAAGAAAAAAAAAAAAAGGGAACATTTATTAGGGGAAGAAACATGCATTGTGTGAGATGGTTTCTGTATGTTTTTTCGTTCACGTGGCTGCTATGGAAACACCATCCAGTTTCAATCACTGAGACTGTCCTAAGCTGACTAAATATTAAAGTGAAGAAAAAAAGAGAGTAGAGAGAGAAGTGGTATGTAGGTTTACAGCTAAGCCTGTCATTGGGTATCAAACCCGTTCCCCAAATCCACACCCACATGATTTGGGTTGGGTATGAATGAGTTGGTTCTTTAGATTATTTCCAACAACAACCCGTAAAATACAATACTTATTTGATCTTTGGCAGCGTTATCAGACAAAGAGTCCAATATCCGTTTGGCATCTTCTCAGGACCTAAAAGAGAATTTTTTTATGCGAATGAGTTTTCAGGAGTGAGGATGTTTATATTTGAGTTGTGTCTCTCAGATAATCTAAAATAAGTCTCTCATATACTGTTGAATACTGATTTTGGATCTCTTATTATTTATTTTGGGTTTAGGTGTTCAAATAAATCACTGGTTGGAGACAGTCTTAGCCGTTGGATGAAGGGTAGGGTACGGGCATCCCCGCTGCTACCCGTAATCCCGTCTCCTTCCCTTCGCTCCTCCTCCATGGCCGCAGACAGCACTAGGCAGCGTCGAGGTGCGGCACGAGAAGGGGGCAGCTACGCCGGCCGGTGCAGCAGCGCTGACGAGGCCTGCTCGAGGTTTTGTGACGTCTTGCTGCGCCTATGGCCGCGGGAACTGCGGCGGCGCCATGGCGGCGGCGGTGGCAAAAAACTGACGAGGAAACTGTAGGCGAAATGTGCGGGGATAGAGCAACCGAGGAAGACAGCGGCGACCGTCGAGGTGCGAGTCGTGCGACACCTATGGGTCAACGGAGGAAGACGAGAAGCTAGCAGGTCGGAGCCTCCGTCGGCGTCTTCAGTGTGCGTTCAGTCCAAGGGCAAGTACGGAGCATACGTGTCCATGAGTATATGAATAATATGAGATCATCTAATGGGTAGGGGAATTTTGGGGAGGGTATAGAGAGCATGTTCGGTTGGTTGGTTCGTATCGTTGCTGGTTCGTTTATGTGAGAGAAAAATATTGTTGGCTGGTTCATATAAATAGTGTCCATGTGAGGGGGCTGGCCAGTCCAACCCAGCCAGCCCCAGCCGAACACATCAAGAATGGATATCTCACAAATGGATTTGAACATGGGTAAGATCGGGTTTGCTCATACCCTCCCCAACGACGGGCTTACTCACAGTCTGTTTTGACACGTTAAATCAAGAAACTTTGTGAGAGAGATAAGTATACCATGTATTAACCGTAAAGCGCTAACTAATATATGGATAAGCTGAGAGAAGGCTGTAAGTAACCTTACAACCAGCAAATCGGCTGTATTATTAGCCTTGCTCTCATGCCGCGCACCCCGTCCATCCCTTGCGTCGCGCGCCGTTCACTCCTCGCTCTCACGCCGCCGTTCGTGCCTCGCGTCACGCGCCGGCGTCTCGTGTTGTGCTCCCCCCACCGCGTCAACAACCTTCATTGGATGGCAGTAAGTAGATGAACACATATTTACAACTATATGTTTCATGCGTTTTTTATCTATATATTGCAAAAGTAGATCTGGTGTTACATATGTTGCAAGTGTATGTTTCAAATATTTCAGCTGTTTCAAACGTATGTTCACAACCAAAATTTTTTACTTCTCCTAGTGATGTGGGATTCTCCTAGTGTTTTACCATTCAAAATTTAGTATAAACTTCCCTACTAAATGTCTCCTAGTGAGGATCCCATGTGCTATGACTAGTGGTAGTGTTTTATTACTACTTAAAAACACTAGGAGAATTCCACCTTTTTGGTAGTGGTTGCAAGTGTTTTATTTAAATGTTGCATATATTGCAGTGATTATACACATAGGTTGTAAGTGTATGTTTAAAATATTTCAGTTGTTTCATAAATATGTTATAAGTGTTTTATCTAGTTGTTGCAAATGTTGCAATGGCTATGCATATTTGTTGGAAGCGTATGTTCCAAATATTTCACTTATTTAAGATGTATGTTGCGGAGTGCTTTATGTTGGAAGTGTTATCATTAGCATGCAGCATGTGAAGCAGCAGCAGGCGGGGATGCGTAGGCGCGTAGCAGCAGTTTGCATGCGGGTGCGTGCAGCCCAGCAGCAGCATGCGTTGGCGATGCTGCTAGCATCTTGTGCATGCGGGTGCGTGCAGCAGACGGGGCATGCGGCAGCAGCATCGTAGGCGTGCAGCAACAACAGCATATGTAGGCGGAGCAGGTAGGCATGCGCGGGCGTCCGGATAGGGGCTAGCGTCCAGACGTTCGGGCGCTAGCCACGCCCTTTTTTATTTGAAAGGACCGATGTTCGAGTTGGGTTCAGGTACAATCGTAGAAGATGACATGCGGGACCCACTACCGGTTACTGCGAGTTGCCGGTGGCTAATTTTGTGGGCCGGCGGCTCAGAAAGAGGCACGGGAGGGAGTTGGGCTCAAAGGGTTTTGGCCCGCAAAGCAAAATGGGCTGACAAAAAAGGAATTAGAAAAAAGATAGAAAAGACAAAACAATTTGGGCTAGATTTTCATAGGAGATTTGGTCCTTGATTTGGAGGTCTCTAAAATTTTGCGAACCAATTTTCAAACCTATTTAAATTAAGTCTAAACCATTTTGTCTTCTCTAAGTTTCAAAACATATTTTGATGACCTTTTTAAACTCTACTCTATAGACCATTTAACTACATTTCGAGAAATAGATTAAAACTATTTTGAAGCCAATTTAAGGAAATCCAATGAACTGTTTTTGCAACCTTTTTAGTACTTAAATTTCAAACCATATTTTTGGAAAAAAGTTTTTAAACCATTTTGAGTATCCAAACCCTTTTTCAAACATTCTTGAAGTTTGAAATCTATATAAAATCCTTTTTCAAAGACTTTTGGAACTCAAATTTAAGCTCATTTTTAGAAGTAGTTTTTGAAATTAAATTTTTTACAATATAGTTTTTTTTGAAATTGAGCTTACACGGTAATATAATCCGTGTGGTAGGATCATGCATAGTTAATAATCATCTCGCATGGTCTATTACTATTGCTTTCACATTTCCACAAAATTTTACTATTACTTTCACAAAATGAAATTGATCACTCAATATTCATCCATTATGAAGTGATTCCCCTATTTACTCCTTTTTCATTAATTTGAATAGGAACACAGTTCAGTTCACTCGATACATAGGGGATACTTGTTCAGTGGAGATGATAATACCAATCCGAAATGGAAGATCACAATAAATCATATCATAAATCTCATGTTTTGCCCCCATGATATGGGGTATAACTTTTGCCAAAAGAAACCTACATGATGACACCTATCCTCCAAGTGAATGTGCAGATGTAGACTCCTTTAGCTGTTTGATTGTTAGCAACTTAGCATCCCACGCATGGCAGCAGCCTTCTAGGTGGGAGTGCTATCTGTTTCCCTTGATTTCTGATGTTGTAGAGTGATGGCTAGAGTTTTTTGACGACTACATGTGGGTGACCTGAAGGTGAAGATGACTTGGTGTCATAGCAGAGGTTGGCCATGTATGACAGTAGCTAGCTTGGCGATCTACTTGATGGAGGAGGAGGAGACTGTCAATTTGAGCGAGGGTTGCAAATGGTCGGCGGATGCTGGAAGTGATGTGTTGTTGCTGCGGCTAATGCTCGTGTAGAGTATTGGCTAATGCTCGTGTAGAGTATTGGTTTTTACGGATGGTGAGGCATGTGTGTTGTTGCTTTATTGGCCGGCCGCAGAGAGTTTTCCTTTCTTGTAGGTAGTCCCCAGGACTATATGCTTTCATTTCTTCTATATCTATATATCAATAAAAATAGGCACCGTCGATGTCGGTTCGTTCAAAAAAAAATATGCCGGTATGTGTGAATTGTGTTTTATGTTGTAATCTCCTTTTTTTATATAAATGTTCATTCTGTAATTTGTGGCTACCGCTAACTTCTTACATTTTATCTTGTTTTGTCATATGTCTCCAAATTCAGCATGGCCTAGTTTTATAACGCTGCCGTCAAGAATGATGTGATCAAAACGATAACAACAAAATTGATTCTCCGACACATTTGGGTTGCTTCAATAATTCGAGCACTCTTATGTTATTATGTATTTACATCTCCACTGAATGAATGATTCATAAACAAGGAGAGCATGTTCATTGGATTGTGGACATGACATGTCTAAACCCAAATAGCAACCAAATCTGAACGAAGTTGTCATGAATAAATCCTACGAGAACTGGTGCTGGACTCACTCAAGTAAAGTACCTTGATACAACTATAGCACTAGGTTAGCACTAGCTAAAAACACCTTGACAGGATTATCTGATCATATAACACCCCTACAGCAAAGAACGCACAAAAGGCAACCACAAATATGGCCTTTCGTATGTTTGTTCTTTGGTGAGAGAACTGGAAGCTGGAGGCAGCACTGCTTCTGCTGAATTACAGTGTTGGGCAAGCATAGCACAACATAGCTTTGGGTTCCCATCAAAGGCTAGAATCTGGAAATGTTGTAAACTGGCCTCCAGTTGGGATTGGTCCTTTCAGGTGCTGCAACATATAAGATGATCTTAGACTCCAAGTATTGCTAGCAGATTCTACCTGGAGCGATGTGTTGCCCAAAACATCAGAACCCATAGTATTGTCGGGTATCAGCAAAGTGCCCGGCGACGTAGCACGACCCCTTTGGGTGTTTGAATCTTGGAATACAGGCGTAGCAATGATCGTAATCCATGTCCACTGTTTCCCAATCTGGATACACATGCTTCAGCGCTTCCTCAATTGTTCGGATGCTTCTCCCACCTATAATCAGATAAGACAGTCCATAACCATAACGAATGAAGATTGATCCATAGTGCCAAATACTCATGAATCAATTGGGGTAGTAGCACAAAAGTAACATACCTGCATCGGAAGGCGAAACTGGGGAACAGCAAGTGACATTCTCCTCCTTCGAATAACCGCGTGCCTCGATCTCACCAAAGAAGAGCTGGGAGTGCCCACTCTTGTCTTGAGCATGAAAATTCAGGTGGTAGTACTCGCTGCCATCTTGCTCACCAACAAAAAAGAGCCCATTACCACGTGAATGCTTACACAAAGTTGACCTGATTTTTCTTGTTGTAGTGGTCGATGCAAAGCTTTGCGTTGGTGACAAATTCAACCCACATGGCAGCTGCAACTTCCGGTGGTTGATTAGGAAACAGTTTTACGCCTAGCTCTGCATCTGATACGGTCCCATCGCCGGTGACCTCAGGAGGAGCCACAGATAGATTCGGCGGAACCTGTCCTTCGACCTCCGGTTGGGACAGCCCGACGGCCATCTGCTTGGACGGCGACCTGCCCAGACAAAGAGGGGTTAATGCGTTCGTGTTTTGGGCGGCTGAGTGGGAGAAGAGAAAATTAGGGATCTGTGAGGGGACGTACGCCGGCGGCGACTTGCTTCTGACTCGGCGAGGGAGTGTTTCCTCTTCCCCGACCTCGCCGGAGGATTTACGCTTGAGGAGGGGCAACATCGACGACGACGAGGAACAGAATCGCCTCCGACCGTCCGGCGGGTGCGTGCCGTCAAGAGAGGAGCGGATCGGGAATCACAAATTTTTGTTACGGGAGAAATCACTGAAGCAGGTGCGTGCCGTCGTAAATATAGAAGCCCCAGCTATACTCTCCCCGATTCGGATTCGAACGAAGGTATATGACTAGGTAGCTCCCTACCATCTACCGTAGGACGTCGACGTCGCCGGAGGACTTCCGGCTTGGCCCGGCGTAGTGCTTCCGGAGGAGCGGGCTTGGCTTCGGGTGTGCGGCAGAGAAGGGGAAGGAGGTAGAAGATGACCCGCGGGGCCCACTTGCCAGTTACTCCGACAGAGAGGAGGGGGAGGTATTGCTGGTGGCTGATTTTGTGGGCTGGAAGCCCAGCAAGGAGGCGCGGGATGGAGGTGGGCTCAGCGGGTTTTGACCCACGAAGCAAAATGGGCAGGCCGTAAAGGAATGATTCAATGAAAAGGATAGTTCCTCAAATTTTTTTTTGAAAAGGATAAGATAAAAAGGACGAAATTCCCCTATAAACAAAAAGATAAAAAGGACCAAAGAATTTGGGCTAGATTTTCATACGACATTTTGTTCTTGATTGACAGGTTCTTTAAAATTTTGCAAACAAACTTTCAAACCTTTTTAAATTACATTTAAGCCATTGTGTGTTAGCAATCCAATGTCTCAATCTCTACTTATATTTTCTTCTATATATCAATAAAAATAGACATCGTCAGTGTCGGTTCGTCAAAAAAATGGCAACCTTTTTTTGCAGAAAATTTATGATTGTGTGTGTGAGTTGCGTTTTATGTCGCAATCTCTTTTTTTAATGTAAATGTTCATTCAATTTGTGGCTACCGCTAGCTTCTTACATTTTGTCTGGTTTTGCCATGTTTTTTATAGGCGCTGCCGTCAAGAATGATGAGATCAAAACGATAAGAACAAAATAGATTCTCCGACACATTTGGGCTGCTTCAGTAATTCAAGCACTCTTATGCTATTACATATTATACATCTCCACCGAATGAATGACTCATGAACAAGGAGATCATGTTCAGTGGACTGTGGACATGACATGTCTAAACCCAAATATATAGCTACCAAATCTGAACGAAAAGTTGCTTGTCATGACTCATGAATAAATCCTACGAGAATTGGTGATGGACTCACTCAAGTAAGAAGTACCATATGATATATAAAAGTATGGCACTAGGTTATTAGCACTAGCTAAAAATACCTTGATAGGATTATCTGATCATATAGCACCCCTACAGCAAAGAACGCACAAAAGGCAACCACAAATATGACCTTTTCGTATGCTTGTTCTTTGGAGAGACTGGAAGTTGGCTGAGGCAGTGCTTCTGCTAAATTACAGTGTTGGGCAAGCATAGGGCCACATAGCTTTGGGTTCCCATCAAAGCTAGAATCTGGAAATGTTGTAAACTGGCCTCCAGTTGGGATTGGCCCTTCTAGGTCATTGTTGGAAACATTAAACACTGAAAGGAAATGTAGATTTTTCAGTGCAGGAGGAATTGTACCTACAAGATGGTTGCTAGACAAATCTAGCTCCTGGAGTCTCGTGAGGTTGCATGCTGATTGTGGGATTTCTCCATGTAACGTATTGGATCCCAAATTGAGCACTTGTAGTGCTTTGAGCTGACCAATCTCTGGAGGGATTGTGCCGGTGAGTTTATTGTTTCTAAGGTTTAGCTTAGTAGGGAAATCTCCAAGCATCCGGTACGCATTTGTTGCGCTTAGATATATGGGCACGTTGGAGATCCTTTGGTTCAAGTAGTCTGGAACCTTATCAGATTGTAGCACTGGCATCTCCATTAGTGCTGTTGGGATTTCCCCTACAAGGCTGTTGTTTGACATGTCTATATAGTAGAGGGAGTTTAGGGTTTTGATCCACACCGGTACTGTTCCAGTGAGTTGATTGTTGGATAAATCCAAGATTCTTAAGCTGGTTAGCTTTGATATCCACAGCGGTATCTTCCCGGACAGTTGACATTTTTCTATGGTCAGCATCTGCAGATTCTCAAATCCATCAATTGACACATGGTCTGGCATGACTTCACCGATGAAGTTCACTCCCATAAACAAAACGGTGAGGTTGCGCAAGTTCTGGAGTATCTGAAGCGCACCTGTGACATTCACAAAACCATTGTAGGAAATGGACAGGAAGGAGAGGGACTTGAGGTTGCTTATTCTTGGTGACAGCTGACCACTGAATGCATTATCAGACAGACGCAGTGTTCTGAGGTTGCTGCATGAGTAGACACTCTCTGGAATTTCTCCTGTAAAATCGTTGAACAAAAGGTCTAGACTTTCTAGATTGGACAAGGTGGAGAAATCAACCTTCTGAAGCGTTCCACCGAATCTGTTGCTCCTGAGATTGATGGTCCTGAGATTCGTGCAGTTGCTTATAGCCGACGGCAGCTCCCCAGACATGTAGTTCCTGTTCACACGGAGCTCCTCCAGTTTTGTGCAGTTGCTCATAGCCGACTGCAGGGTTCCGCCGAGGCGGTTGGCACTGACGTCGAGGACCGTGACGCTGCCGGAGGACATCAGCTCCGGCGGGAGGCTGCCGGTGAAGGAGTTGCCGGACAGGTTGAGGCGAAGCAGGCTGGTGAGGTCGCCGAGGGACGGCGAGATTGGCCCTGTAAGGCCTCTAGATCCCAGTGAGACCTCAGTGATGCTCCCGTTGGCGTTGCAGGTGATGCCTTCCCAGGTGCAGCAGTTCGTGCCGTTGTTCCGCCATGACGCGGCAAGGCCGCCGCTGCCGCCGCCGTCGTGTGACAGCCCGGCAAGGAACCGGAGGAGGGAGGCTTTCTCCTGCACCATGCATGGAGTGGCGGGACACGCCGCCAAGGAGAGCAGCAGTGCAATAAGAGCTAGGGCAAAGAAAGGCATGGCGACCAGTTGGCTATGGTGGTGCTGGTGCATGAACACTGTGTGCCAAATATGTCCATATATATACAGACGAACATGTACTTCTCTGGTACTCCAGTGCGTACAATGTGTATGTGCATCTGGATATTCTTGACACACTTGCGTTTTGTACGTGAACGTGGGCTACTTGACACACTTGAAGCATGCACTTTGACCTTTTACGTTTGATCCTCTTACCATCGACGACGTTTGTTGTGTCTGTATGATATCATCATGTGAATCCATGCTGTTTGATTTTATTTACGATCTCACTCGCTTGGGTGTAGTTGAAATTTTCCAACGGTTGACCGTACCGATCCTGGTTTCGTATGATTTTACTTTGAATAATGTATCTAGAACTTGGAAAACATGCATGCATGCCAGCCCGCAGAAAGCCAAACAGACGAACACAGGCTCCGAATTGAGCAAATTGTTCTCTCTTAGAATTCATTCAGGATTGCAACATGTATATGAAAATGTGGAATTCCTTCCGCCGCTCCTAGATCACATCATTGTCCATTAAAAATGCATGCCAACCTCCACGTGAACAGTCCACAAATGTTTTCAAACCTTTTGTTCCCTCTGAATTCAAAATAAAAAATTCAAAAATAAAATCAAGCTGGACATCATGCCCATCCACATAAATAGGTATCAATATCGTACCACCATAATGAGGCCTTCGCGTGATATGATATTCCCTCAGGGAAAAAAAACTATCAATATAGTAATATCATAATGGGTACTACCTCAAGCTATCGATACTGGCTGTTTTACTTTTACCTCGCTCCCCTAGCTACATGTTTCAAACCTGGTTTTCGTCTTACATAGGACTTTATGTGGAGCAATTTTGACATTTGTAATGGAGTTGTGATATTTGTTAAGGGGATTATCAACACAAGTGATAGGAGCCAGAGGGCTTTGAGGTGACTTTTGTTTTGACAATTGTCCCGTGGACTCGTTCAACGAAATCCATAGTGCATTTAGATTGATACATGCATATACATGTGTTTTGAATTTGTTCCTATAAATTTATTCAACCCAAAAATCAAAATTTTTAGATTAGACGTAGTGGATAAGTGGAACTTGGTGAGGTCTCCACTACCTTTTACCTTAAACATTCAGCCTCTTCGCTGGTTGATTTCTAGGCTGATAAACCCAGCTGGTGTTGGTCTATTGTGAGAGAAAACATTGTTGGTGGCTGATAAGCCCTAGCTGAAATCAACAAGCGAACAGGCTGATTGATGCTTTTGAGATTTGTACAGCTTCACAGAGTTGATGGGAACTCCTGGTCGAGACTTATATAAGTATAATACTGAAAGTTAGTCGAGTGGGCAGTACTAGCGTCCGGACGTCCGGACGGACGCCCGCGGCTGCTGCACACCCGCAGCCGCGCAACTCTCCATCCATTCGCTTCCCACACGCATGCACGGTGCCCCACCAGTTGCATCAGGCGGCTATAGCAGGTGAGTCACGTTGCAACATGTACAATAACCGATCTATTTTTGAAAAAAAAATCATATGAAATTTTTGCAACATGCGTCTGAAGAAAAATAAAATATTTAAAATATGCGCCCGAAAACACTTGCGAAAACACCTAAAAATAGTTGAAAAGCCATTGCAACACATATGCAACACCCTAACAAAAATACTTGCAAACATGTGTGAAATATATGCAACGTACAAATAAAAACACTTGCAATATACATCTGAAAAAACAGATGAAACATTTGAAACAGACGCTTGCAACATATGTGTATAGCCATTGCAACATATGCAATATACGGATCTACTTTTACAACATCTAGACGAAACACTTGCAATATACCTCTGAAACATCTGTAACAATTGAAACATATGTTTGCAACATAGGGGGAGAGAACAAGGCCGGTCTATTCCGGCCGTCAAGGTGTGAGCCGGTGGCGTGCGAGCAACACCAGCACCAGCCGCGCTCGTGGGTGCCCCTTGGCTCGGCTGGAGACGACCTGAGGCGCCCCGGCACCTGCGCTGACAGCGCTAGGTTGGGGAAGAGACCAGAGAGGCCTACGCGAACTGA